CATCATTGTATTAGTCTGCACAGAGCTGAACCCAGCCTCCTACGAGGCCGTCCCTTCTTCCTGTGTTCTCTGCCAGCCAGTGTCTTTGGTAGCTCCCGATCCTTTGGTCATTGGTCCCTCTTTCCTGCCCCCCAGGCTAAGCCCGAGTCAAGATGTTCTCAAGAACCTTCCTGTTTCAGCTGCATGTCTGAGGTTTATACTTTCCACTCAGAACTCACTTCATTGCAGGCTTCTGACACCCTTTCAAATCCATCCTTCTCTCGCATAATCTGTTTTGAAAGTCCGTTTTTCCTGGGTCCACTTCTCAGTTGTCCTCACCCAGTTGATCTTCCTTTCCCCGCCATTATTAAACATCTTTCAAATAACTCCTCATTGCAGTCTTAGTAAGTTCAACTTTCCATCCAGCTTTTTATCTTTTCTGTTTTCAACACTGGGCTCAAATCTCACCTCTGACATTTGATTGACAGGTAATCTTAAAAATGTTGTTTAATCTCTCTGAGATGCAGATTTGTCATTTGTAAAATGGGCAAAGTTGCATGCATAGACTTGTGATGATCAAAAGAAAACACATGTATATAAAGCTCATAGCATGCAGTTAGGCACTTAGAACCTGGTTAAAATGTAAATATCCCTCCTACTTTTGAAAAAATTATTTTAAGTTTTGGGATACATGTGCAGGATATGCATAGGTAATGTGCATTTGTTCCACAGGTAAATGTGTGCCATGGTGATTCGTTGCACCTCTCAACCCATCACCTAGGTGTTAAGCCCAGGATGCATTAGCTATTTAACCTGATGTTCTCCCTCCCCCAACCCCTGACTCTTACTTTTAAAAATGTTTCCTTGCCTTCTCTCTTGAAAGTATCTGGACTTTCTTTTATTCTTTCGCCTCCTTTAAAGACACACAAGGAGTTCTCTCTTCTCTGTAGTCATGATCATTGTAAAGACTTTTCAGTCTATTCAGGCTTCCTTTCAACACAAGCTTTTAAGAGTAATTATATAGCAAGAGATCAGGATTTGGTACAGACTATAATACTCACACATGCCCACATCATTTGGAGGAGGGCATTCATATCCCAGTGAAGGAACATTTTTTTAAAAACTAGGAGTGGTGATCTGGGATTGAATATAATAGGTGATTGCTTGTTTTAGGTGGTTCTTTTTTTTTTTTTTTTTTTTTTTTTTTTTTTTTTTTTAAATCAAGCTTATTTCTAAAAAAGAAATTTGAAAGGTATTTAGATAATTTGTAGAGGAACAAGTGATAATTTGTCTGTTAGCAAGAATGACTTTCCCTGTTTTGTTTTTGTTTTTGGTTTTTTTTTTTGTTTGTTTTTTTGTTTTTTTGTTTTTTTGTTTTTTTGCCAGAATCTAGCTCTGTCACCAGGCTGGAGTACAGTAGCACGATCTTGCCCCACTGCAACCGCTGCCTCTTGAGTTCAAGCAATTCTCTGCCTCAGCCTCCCAACTAGCTGGGATTACAGATGCACCCACCACGCCTGGTTGATGTTTTTGTATTTTTAGTAGAGATGGAATTTCACCATCTTGGCCAGGCTGGTCTTGAACTCCTGACCTTGTGATCCACCTGCCTTGGCCTCCCGAAGTGCTGGGATTACAGGCTGTGAGACACTGCGCCCAGCCATCTTTCCTTGTTTTAAACATTTTGCATTTCTTCTTATTTAGAAAGTGAGAGTGGGAGTTAGAAGGATAGAGGATAATAGAAAAAAGTATTATAGTCAGGGAAGAATGGGACACAACCCTGAGTTTATGTCACTGAACTCTGAGGACATAATTCACAATTTCATAGTGCCAGATTGTGTTTTCTTGTCCTCCCTGTTTTGTGAGGAGCATTTGCTATTATGCGTTACAATGACAAGGAGGAATAGGTAGGCGAGGAATGAAAAAGCATTTAGGCGACCAGGCGCGGTGGCTCAAGCCTATAATCCCAGCACTTTGGGAGGCCGAGGTGGGTGGATCACGAGGTCAAGAGATCGAGACCATCCTGGTCAACATGGTGAAACTCCCATCTCTACTAAAAACACAAAAATTAGCTGGGCATGGTGGCGCACGCCTGTAGTCCCAGCTACTCGGGAGGCTGAGGCAGGAAAATTGCCTGAACCCAGGAGGTGGAGGTTGCGGTGAGCTGAGATCACACCATTGCACTCCAGCCTGGGTAACAAGAGCGAAACTCCATCTCAAATTAAAAAAAAAAAAAAAGAAAGAAAAAAGAAAAAGCATTTAGGCAAAACAGAGACATTTCATACTACTTAGAGATGGGATGATACAAACTGCTCCATTCACAATATAGTTCACATCTTTGAAGAAAACCAGCGATGCTCCCATCATCATCCCATCTCCCTCTTTCTCTAGCACAGAAAGGAGAACAAGGAGCAGTAGGTAGGTAGGAGGGGCACGTATGACGTGAGGAACAGGCAAGGACACAGTGTGTCCAGGAGGAAAAAGGGGGAAAAAAACGTACACGAGATAAACAATAACAAAAGAGACTCCAGGAAGAGGCTATGGTTTTGTGTTCCTCAGGTAGAAATCGATGCATTTAAAATACCCAGAATTAAAGTTGAAGAACACTCCATCTACCTCTTCTCAAATTATTTTCTTTACTAATACTACTTCCTTTTGTCTTTAAACAGTGAACTGCCACTCTACCGTGCCTCGTTCTTCCTATTACACACGTCAGCCCTGAAAGGTTCCTGGGAGACAGTTCATGTAGACTAAGGATAGCACCTGTGGGCTATATTAGGCTGATGAATCATGGTAGCTGGAGCACTGCACTGAGCCTGGTTCAGGGGCTCAGTCTGTTCTCAATGGGTAGGGTGATGGGATCCATCAGTGCTGGGACTGGCCAATGCTGTCTGCCACAGGCTTGGGGGTGGGAGGAGTTGTAGGGAGAGCCACCTAAGTGGTGACATCCCACGCTAAGAAACTGAGACTCATTTATGAGGAGGTTCAGAGACATTAATCTAGTTGTCAAAAGGCACACAGCTACTTGGTGTTTTTCAAATTTTAAATTTAAATGTTTCCAATTTATCTAAAACAAAAACAAAAACAAAAACAAAAGGTTCAGGGCCAGGGGTGGGGACGGGGGGTGGACAAATGGAGACGAAGAGGATGAACCATCCTGAAAATGAAAAACGATTTGCCTTCAGGGCATTTAGAATTGAAAGTGAATCTTCCTGAAGCCTTTTGAGAGACACTGTATCAAAATTGCTAGAAGCTGACTGTCTCTTGCAACAGTCTGGGATCCTTCTTCCCAATTTCAGAGGTGTTTCAAAGTCTGTAATGTTAAAGACTGACTAATTCTTCCAGAGGAATAATTTTTCTTAGTGCTTGGATAAAGAGATGAAGTATTAAGACACTTTAAAATATTACTCAGGTTAAAGTGTTATTCAGGTAGGATTTATATATATTTGAATTTAACTTCAGAGCCTTCTAAATGACACCTCACTTAGTACAATTTTTAAAACGTTCTTTCTGCAGTGTATTGAATACAAGTCCCAGATGGGATTTGGACTTAGTTTTAACTAATCATGGTAGCAGGCAGTAGTCTCAGTTCTAGAATAAATAGCAGCTCCAAGTAAGAGACTTAAGTTCTTCGTCAGTACCAGGCTGCAATGAAATGCTTTGAAGGGACTCTGGCCCCTAAATGTCTCCTCTACTTGCAGGAAATTTACTGTTAAACATTCAAAGGCATTATTTTGAAAATACTAATATTCTTGGATGATACGCCTTTTCAAAGTTATTGTCAGGTAAAAAGTAAGGAAGAAGTAAAAGCTAGTGATGAAGTGGAGTGATTTGTTAATAGCTGTGAAATAAGAGAAGAGAGTGACCGAAATGATAGTTTTCCAAGAGTAGCTATAGGAGGGGTTGTTGCTGGCCCAAAGATGGACTTCATTGTCTAAAAACTACTGCTAACACCAGTATGTTTAACTGAACTTAGGCCTTATATGTTTGAGGACACAATAACTAACACTAAGCAGCTGATGAAAAACCACCCACATAAATAAACCCTCAGATGCCTTTGGAAAATAGAAAAGAAAAGAGAAAAACAATGTAAGAAAGTGTAGGAGTGCCTTCTCTCCAACGTTTCTGAGAGAAGATGGGAGTCGAAAACCTCAAACAAAATGTTGCCCCAATCTCACTTGCCTAATTTTAGTTATCTTGGTTCAGGGCTATGATTCATCCCTAAAGCTGTGAATTGCTGAGGAGGAAGGAGGAAAAAAAATCGACTTAAATGTCAAAGAAGTAGGAACATAAATATAGTTTTCTTTTTTGAGGAACTAGAATTTCAGGATATGGGGATCTTTTTTCTCATAAGGGACTGAATCCTTCAAACTTCTAGAAAAATAATGATCCGTAGTCAAAACATCAAGGAATGAAAGACAGAATTGATTATGAGTCATGTCATGTCTGAATTTTAGCCTCCATAGTGTATTTTCCTTTTTTTCCTTTGGTATCCCTTTCGATCTGGTTAAACTATAAATTAATTAATTAATTTTGAGACAGGGTCTTTCTCTGTTGCCCAGGCTGGGGTGCAGTCACTCAGTCGTGGCTCACTGCAGCCTTGACTTCCTAGGTTCAAGTGATCCTCCCACCTCAGCCTCCCAAGTAGCTGGGACTACAGGTGCACAACACCACACCCAGCTAATTTTTGTATTTTTTGTAGAGATGGGGTTTTGCCATGTTGCCCAGGCTGATCTCGAGCTCCTGGGCCCAAGCAATCTGCCCACCTGAGCCTCCCCAAGTGCTGGGATTACAGGTGTAAGCCACTGTGCCTGGCCAATCTGGTTCAACTAGAGGTCACTAACACTTGTATGCAGTTGAAAATGATGGAGGATTAATGCGTAGACTGTAATGACAAAGGGAACTCATAAGATAGTGTGAAATGAATGGCGGTAAATAGAACTATGAGAAATGATTCTAGGGGATGTGATGGTAGCACAGGGAGGGGAGATATCGTTTGGTTGGCTGTCTAAGGTTCTCTCGTGATCTTTTTGTGGATCATAATCATGAAGATTGAGTTTTCACGCTAATATATATGAACTGGGCTTCCTTCAAACCTTGTTATGATGTTGGCACATTATCCATCTTACATAAACACAGGAAATAAAAAGTTCTCTTTCCTGCCAAAGAATAGGAGACAACAGAGATGGTTTGGGGAAACTCCATCCCAAGTAAAATGTTTTCAGTTTAGTAGGTGACTCTCTGTCCATTTATCACCATTTTGAATTTCCGTAAGTACGGAGGGAGGAAATAGCAATCACTAATTCATATCTGGTTCAACAATTTCACCGTCTGAATGAGCTGACCCTCTTCCATCAGCCTAGCAGTCATCTGCATGTTTGCCTCTTTCTGCTCTGAAAATGTCTGAGCAGTAAAATAAATAGATGGTAGGCATAAAAATATGGTCCCGGATATTAGAAGAGGGTCATATTGTGAAGAAGGCAAATGAGAAAGAAAGAGTTTCAATGACTTCCGAGTGATCCTCCACATCCTGAAGCTCTGAGAGTAGCCCAGGCACAACTGTGATGTTGATTTCAGGCCTTACCCTTTACCCCAGTCCTCAGTCTCCTCAGAGCACTCTGCTTATCTTCCTCAAGGCTCTGTGTCCTTCTGTTCTCCTCTTACCTGGGTATTGCTGTGGACAAGAGCAATTCCTGTATCTTATCACCCAAGACCCAAAGTGTCACTCAGCGAATGTGACCATTGCAACCTCATGACAACCTAACGGGATACTCAGGAGGTGGAGGGGACTCTGGAGCTTGCTGGTTTAAGTGACTTTCTTGCATTGCAACCCTTTTCTCGCATCTTCTGGAAGATGTTAATCCCACGGCCATGACTACCCAGCATTGTGCCTACTGGAGAGATATTTCAAGGTCCATAGAAGGTATTTTTTCAGAAGGGTCCTTGGCCTCCCTCATTTTATATCACCTTGGTCCAGTGGCTTTATTACAAATCCAGTTCGTTTCATTTAATTTTCTGAGCTTCTGCCAGGTGTGCCAAAGTGCAGTGAAGACTTGTTTCCATTTTTTATTTCCATTATCATTTTTTTTTTTTACCTTGTGAGACAATGTTTTGGGTTGAATTCTGTTCTCCAAATAAATATATTGAAGTCCTAACTCCTACTATCCATGAATGCTACCTTATTTGGAAACAGGGTCTTTGTAGATCTAATCAAGCCACCAAGTTGTGGCACTTTGTTCTGACAATTCTTGAAAATGAACACATGTAGTAATAAAGGCTATGAGGAAGGGCAACTGGAAGCCAAAGAAAGAAAGAAGAGGGTTTTTTTTTTCTTGGCTTAATTTTCAGATGCATTGGTATTAATTTTTGATTAAAATGATCCAGAATTATTCCACATGAACCCTTGAAAAATAATTCATCAGAGGCTTTCTCTGTCTGATTCTTTAAAATACAACATACTCTGCTATTTAAATAAATTCCCATCACACAACAGTCAGCTGCTTTTCAGTGCTCTTGATTAATAATTGGGTTTGTTTTCCTTAACTGCTTTGATTTTTTGTTTTATTTATTTTGTCTTTTAATATTTTATTTAGCAACATAATATAAATTCATGAATAGTAATGTTTATTTCATCAAAATATGAAATCAAAGGCACGTAAAAATACTAATTATCTGTAATATATTTTCCAGGTCCAAATGGAATTCTATTTCTACATTTCAAGACTAAAGAATTTACTGTCTATAAACAGCATTTAGAATTAAATCAGGTCTTGCTTAAAATAATCAGTTTCAGTGGTTTCGTGTAGCTCTGTTCTTTGTTTACAAACGGCACAAATACAATTAAGGACTACAGTCATAAGCTGCATGACAACATTTCAGTCAATGATGCATATAATATGGTGGTCCCATAAGATTATAATAATGTATTTTTACTGTAGTTTTCTATATTCGGATATATTTAGATAAACAAATACCCTTGTGTGAGAGTTGCCCACAGCATTCAGTATGGTAATTTGCTGTATAGGTTTGCAGCTTAGGAGCACTAGGCCACACCATATAGCCTAAGCGTGTAGTGGGCTAGACCATCTAGGTTTGTGTAAGGGTACTCTATGATGTTTGCACGGCAAAATAGCTTAATAATGCATTTCTCAGAATGTAACCCCATCATTAAATGCTGTATGACTGTACTTAACGTTTTTCAAAACAAAACATTTTTAAGGCCTTCAAATTGTAATACGTTATGGAGTGCCCACGTTTAAAAATGTATGTCAAAAACCTTCACATATCCAATTTTCAAGCATGGCCACCTTCTATAAGCTTCTCTAAGAAAATTTTGCCAGGCGCGGTGGCTCAAGCCTGTAATCCCAGCACTTTGGGAGGCCGAGGCGGGTGGATCACGAGGTCAAGAGATTGAGACCATCCTGGTCAACATGGTGAAACCCGGTCTCTACTAAAAATACAAAAAAATTAGCTGGGCATGGTGGTGCGTGCCTGTAATCCCAGCTACTCAGGAGGCTGAGGCAGGAGAATTGCCTGAACCCAGGAGGCGGAGGTTGCGGTGAGCCGAGATCGCACCATTGCACTCCAGCCTGGGTAACAAGAGCGAAACTCCGTCTCAAAAAAAAACAAACAAAAATAAAACAAAAAAAAAAAGAAAGAAAATTTCCTCTATTATGTTAGTCAATTATCTGAAAAATTCAAGAATCTTAAGAAAAAGTTCTTGTGTGTACTTTGTGCCTGAGCATATGTTCCATGTTCCAGGATTGGGATACATCTATTTTCTCATTGACCAGAAATTTTAATTCTTTTCAGAAGCCATGCTAGATTGTTTTAAATCCAGCATGGCTTCTGAAAAGATTGAATTGTTTGTGCTTCTTATCATAAGCTGAATTCTTCGTGAGCACATCTGCTGCCCCTCTCTACAAAGGCACTGGGGTACACACGTCAGATCTACGGTCACAATCTACGTATTGCATTGCTCCACCTGTGGGATGCTTCTGCCCCGCTTACTCTAGGAGCCACAGCATCTGAGCCTCGGTGATAACGCAAGCACCTGGACTATGGGAAGTGCAGGGCTAAGATGACTTACTTGAGTGTGGTGAGTTCTGTAAGGGATGGCTGAGTAGCCTTGAGATAGCTTTCTCTCCGCGCAGCAACTTTGGGAGAAGGCTTGGGACTTGTGTCTGAGTCTCCACTGTCTTCATCCCCCATGGCCTTGATGTAACTGCCACTTCGCATTCTTCGGCATGGAATTTCATCATCTTTACCTCGAGGGGTGTACCCTGTCCATTCATCTTGAGGAACCTATTCAGATAGAAAACAGATAAATCACTTTTTATAAAATCCTACCTTTTTCTTTTCTTTTTCATTGTTTAAAATTTAACATTTCTAATTTTTATGAGTATACAGTAAGTGTATATATTTATGGAGTACATGAGCTATTTTGGTACAGATATACGATGTGTAATAATCACATCAGGGTAAATGGGGTATCTTTCACTTCAGGCATTTGTCATTTCTTTGTGTTATAAACATTCCAATTGTCCTCTTATTTTAAAATGTATAAATAAGACCTAGTGTTTTCTTTTTTTGGTATGATGCTGGATATTGGTAATATAATTATCTGAAACTTTAGACATTAGCCTTTCGATAACAATATTTTATTGTAATGGGCTCAGAAATATTTTGAAGACATACAAGTTCACGTCTCTCAATCTTTAACATGACTCATTTATTAGGAAAAGTTAAAACCATTGGATTTGATTCATTTGTGCATCTCAGTGTTCTCATGCTGATGATAGCTGAGTCAGGCGTAAGAACGCCGTTGGAAAGGAGAGCAATTTTATTTGAGCTTTTCAGTGATTTGTTTTCAATTGTCATTTAAGATTCAGGAACATTTTCTGACTGATTTATGCCTTCCTTGAGCCTTTCAACTTTACCATCTGATATCCAGTCTCTCTTCTTCCTAAACCAGGTCTCTGCCAGCTGCATTTCCTCCCCAATCACTCATTCTTTCTGAATCTTTCTTCATTTGGATTCAGCTTCCATAGATCTGCTTAAAGCACTCTCTAAAGGTTTCCAGTGATCTCCTCATGGAAGATAATGGCATTTTCTTGCTTTTAATTTTTGTTGGCCTCTGCATAACCATGCACACACACACATACAAATAACACCTCTTGTAGGCTTCTCCCCTTTTGGCCTTGTGGTGCTCGACTTACCTGGTATAGCTGCTGCTTGTCTGAATTGTTCCTTTCCTTTTGCTTTGCTAGATCCTATGCTAAGCCACTAACTGAGGATACCACAATAAAAAAAATGTTAGTGCACTGCTCTTTTTTCTTTCTACAATAATTGTTTTCTGAGTTCAGCAGAATATTGTACTACATTTTAAGGACCATCTTCATGGCTTTCTATTAAGTTCTTCTTAGATTTTCCACTTCAACATGAACTCAACCTAGATCTCATTCCTTATTCATTTGGAGAAAAAAAATGCATAGTAGCCATTCTTTTTATCCATTCAGAAGTAACACAGCAAACACCCTATAGTGCACGGAGCACTGCACAAGGCTTAAGTAAAAGAGACCGAAAAAGGGGGAGGCTGGTTCTTGCTCTCAACATACATAACAGAGATGAAAAGAGAAACGAGAGTTAGCAGTCGTGGTGATGGGAAAGGAGGATCCAGGAAAGGCTCCCTGGAATTGGCCAGGTTTGCAATGAGAAAATAAAAAGGGTCTTAATATTTTGATGTTAACAATTTATTGCTTATCCATTAAAATAACATGGTACTACATTGTGGACATTTAACTCTGCGAAAAAAAAATTGCCAACAAGATCTCATTTCAGCATTACAACAACCTGCGCATATTTTTCTGTTTTTCTCAGGTGAGAAGCAGGAGCTCAGAGAAGGTAAGTAACTTGCCAAATGACAAACTGGTAAACAGCAGCCCTAGGGTTCAAAATGTTTAACTCCTAAGATCAAAATTATATTAATCAAAATTTTATGATTAATAGTATATCACGTTGAAACCTAAAGTGCTAAGAAAATTGTCCACAATAACATACACATATCAGACATAGATTTCGAAATATTATAGGTTTTAAGGAAGTGAGAATAGATGTTCTACTAAAAAAGC